TTCGGGGTTTTATCTGTAGCTCTGTCCCTTCCGTCTCCTTTGCACTCTCGTCGCGCGCGCTCTTTCCCCTCTTTCTCCAACCCGAAAGGACGCACACACACGTATACACACGAATACACTCTCACACACACACGCATACGCACACAAGCGCACACACACACACATACACACACACAAATCCCCCGATACGTCCATCGAGAAAAGCCCGCGCACTTCGCCCGAATATACGTGTTGAATCGGAGCGAAAACGTGGAACGAGAGAGTGAAAGAGAAAGAGAGAGAGAGAGAGAGAGAGAAGGAGAGGGGGGAAGGGGAGAGACGAGTGTGCCGCTCCTTTCACGCAGTGGAAAATCGCGGGCGGAAACACGTGCAATATAACGACGCTTCGGAGATCCCCGGAGGCGCGCGGACGCGCGACGAATTAAACACACGCTCGTGCCGTCCTGCGCCGTGATCGCGTCGCCGTCCGTCTCTTCTACACGCGCTTCGTGTGTAACGCAGTGTGTTAAAAGGCATCGAGGCACTCTCTCCCGCGAATCGACGACGAGGTGAAAGGATATATAAAGGAAACGAGTTAAAAAGAAGAGAAGAAAAGGAAGAGAGAAAATATAGTTCGTTCTTTTGTTCCAAGAGGGAGAAAGTTTAACGAGCGACTCGTCACCAATGGTTCACATAGTGGAAGTTGTATCGTCGCGTCGGAACGACTTGCAGCAAATGGTGAGTGGTGAGAACCTGAAAAAAAGAGAAAAAATAATAAAATTCGAGAATTTTATTTAAATCATCGAACGAGATTCTTCTCCTCCTTCGACGAGTTCCTCGAGGAGCGTGGTCGTTGAAAAAAGCGGGTCGTCGTGTGCGGACGTGGCGATAGACGTGGATCCATGGATGATTACGGTTTGAGGGGAGCGGAAAGGGAGAGATATATCTCTCTCTCTCTCTCTTTCTCTCTCTCTCCCTTTCTCCGTTCGTCGTAAAAAGATTCTCTCTCTCTCCGCGCTCTCTGTTTACGCGCGGTTATTTCTGGCGGCATGTGCGCAATCGTTACGTTACACGTATCCCCATCCATATGTTGTACAGGCCCGGTACGCGGAACGGTTTACAATAGCGGCTCCTCGCCCCGCTGCTAAAAGCGGGGCGAGGAGCGCACGTGTGCACGCATACGTGGCGGAGTGCATTAGGCGGCGGGTACGTGCGGGCGCACGCGAAGAAACGCAGCTGCTCGATAGCGGGCGTGTCCGCGTGTTCCGCCTCTGCCTCGATCGTGTGCCTCACGCGCGGATCTCCCGCGAGTCTTTATCAAACGAGGCGGATAAACGAGGTTGAAACCGTGCCTCGATCAATGTTGCACCTATTATCGCCGGGAGAGGGGGGAGTGGAGGGAGAGAGAGAGAGAGAGAGAGAGATTTCGAATTCTTTTTTTCCTCCTCCTCCTCTTTTTTCTCGTCGAGGGAAACGAGATAAAACGAATTGTTTCCCACGTTGTTTCGTTGAGAACTCGCGCGCTCGACGATCCGAGATATCGATATATTCCCCGTGCGTGTAATTCTTCGTAATTTTTCTTCCCTTCGTCGAGTGTTGTTTCCATGTAGGTAGTGGATAGTAAGCTGAATGATTTAAATAGTGTTTTAAAGGGGAAATTGTGCGTTGAAATATTTATGAGTGGAGGGTGTTGCGTGACGTTTCAACCGGGAACTTTTCTCTCTTCTTCTTCTTCTTCTTCTTCTTTTCTGACGATAACGATTCGTAATAATTGTTTCAATTCCTCTGATTTTCCACGAGGTGTATTTGCAACGATGGAATGAATCACGTTCGACTTTGAGAACGGATATATCCAGGAGGGAAATCTGTTTCGAAACTGAATTACAGCCTTCGATAAATAATCATGGAGGAGATATTCGTTCGGGCTATCGACAAAGCACAGCACAAATAAAGAGAGAGAGAGAGAGATGGATTTACGCCATTTTTACGTAATATGCGACCCAGTTGCCGAGAGAAATAAATTATCTCGGATAAACGATGTACCTTCGATCGGTGGCTTCGCGTCCATTTACCTGTCTTCCTGTCGATCGGAGCTTCCTTCGACGTTGACGTAGCCCATCCTATATGTACCGTGCGCGTTTGTATCGGAAACGTTGAACAGAACACATGACGGGTTCTCACGAGAAGGCGGGTCGCTGTTGATGCAGAGACGTACATCAATTAATGCAGCAGCACACGTGAATGTGCCAGCGCATAACGCCGTGGTAATGTAGCTCGCCACATGGCTCCACGTTGCTTTGCTTGGCTCATCAATCCTAAAACCAGACCACCCGTTCTCCAACTTACTCATACGTACGTATTGGCTTAATCGAAACCTTGTTATTCCAATCTCAGAAATCGGAGAATCTATCCTCTCCCCGTATTATTACGAATCTAGTAATTTTTAAGTTTCTAGGGATCCCTAAAAATTCCCTCCACGATTACCATACTTTTCCACGCAAAATTGCATCGAGAGGTGCACCGCTCCTCTAATATTATCTACACAGTTTCGAATATTTATACATTTTCACGCTATCGCGAGAAATGGACGAGAAATTTCGCAGGCGTCGAACGTTGAACAGCGTTCGTTAGAGTCGGCGGTTTTCCGAAAAACCGACGTCATTCCGAGAGTGCCACGCGTAGATCGACGCAGACGCCGGCATCGTCGCCGTCGGCGTCACGAGATAGAGGGACGGAATAACGTTTGACATTTAATGCGCGCCCAGGCATTAGCTTAGATTACAATCGGTGAACGGTGATTGGCCTGGGGACGCGAAAGCTCACTCGACTCGAATGCT